TTTTTAAATGTCACATATACTTAACAGTGTGATGCCCTATAAATTATTTCATATGAGTTAATGTAACAAGTTACATATAAAAATATTATTTTTGAAACTCAAATTAAATAATTAATGACTCAGCAACCACCAAAACGCAAAAACAAGCAGTACATCATAACTATTAGAGATTAACTTTCAGAAGGCATAGTAACCTAATAAAATGTGGAAAACTTGAAGATTACAAAAGAAAATAAGATTAAACTAAAATTATATCATGTTTATATACACTTCATGTAACATTTGTTTGGAACACTTGTGCATTTACGTCGACAGCCATTAAAGAATCATTCCACTTATAAATGACATCATTTTCAAGTCAAATATAATTGGCCAGCATCAGAAGGATACAGCACGGGGTCTAGCTTCTCGAGTATTAAAATCTGCTTTATTTCGAAAAATGTTGCCACTAATCGCTTTTAAAATATAAGTTTGTTAATAAAAAATTTGTATGTTTTACAAAATATGAAATAAAAAGAGCATTGCCAAACATTGAATATATTATTATTATATAAGGTCATATTCTGACGTTAAAGAAAGCATGCGACGCCATTGTACATTGAACATTTTTCATTAATATTAGCATTATAAATAACTAGCTGCTGTTGGCAACTTTTTTGTTTCAGGTTACGATAACTGATATGATATGTTATTGCCGTTTTATGAACATTTTTCATTAATATCAGCATTATAAATAACTAGCTGCTGTTGGCAACTTTTTCATTTCAGGTTACGATAACTGATATGATACGTTATGTTATTGCCGTTTTAATTCTTTTATTGTAAGAAAAAGCTTTTATATTACATTAAATATAAATCACAATATCATTTCTTTTCAGGTGTACATAGAACTTATAAATTTTGATTTGGCCACAGCTAACAACTTTGTGTAAGGTACATTAAATTAACAGCTCATTTTATTTTAAGTTTTTCAGTGCATTTTAATAACTTTATTTACAAGTATTTAATTTATTTTAATACATATTTTCTTTTTCAGTGCAGTTAAAACTTTTGTAGGTATTTAAGGTATTTTAGTTCAATTATTATTTTATACAGGGTTATTTGTTTTTCAGCTTATTAAAATGCGAAAATGCAACACAGGCATTATGGAAGATGCATTAAGAAGGCAAAGAGCTGAAGCATAAACATTATGGCGAGCTATAAGAAATGAATAAGAAACCACTAGAAGACTGAAAGGCAAGTAAAACAACAAGAAAACTTTTGTGCTCAAGAAATTGAAGAGGAAACGACTATGAGACTCATCAAGCAAGGACAATGACAAGAAAACTTACATACCCAAGAAACTGAAGTAGAAATGGTAGGAGACTCAGCAAGCATGTACACTGCGGGGGAAGGGGGGGAGTTCTAATATATCTCCCGTACTACTGGGCCGATTGACAAAATTCAAATTGCATTTTCCATGTCTTAAAAACACGACTTAAGATATATATTAGATTTATATATAGCTTTGTTCTAATATAGGTATTTTGACACAAAATATGACTTTTTCTGAAATAACATACCAAGTTTTTCCATATTTCGATTCTACGACTCAAATTATGCCTAAGTATTACATTTTGTAAAATTTGGTGCAAAATTTACAATGTAATTCAAAAATTTAACTTGGCACATTTTTTTTTTTTAGCTTGAGCCAATTCACTTGGCGAACTTCTTAATATATGGCAACCTATTTTCCTTCCATTGTGCAAGGAGTAGAAAAAAAGTCACATCGTTCCTAACTTTTTTATTGTGGATGAGCGTAAAAAAAGTCACATCGTTCCTACTTTCAAATAATTTTAACAAAGTGTGTAAATCGCATTTTTGTTATTATTGCTTTCAACCAAATATACCAAATTTAAAAATGCGCCTATATATAAGATCATATATATCTTCGGAAATTTTGAATAAAAGGCTTTAATATTTTCAGGTATGCTTAGAAATACATCTATGATTGTAAGAATTTTATAGGTTATGCAAAATTTGTTTCGAAAAATTTATAAAAATTATTTAAAAATAAATCACAAAAAATGAGTGAATTTTATTTGGAATGAGCCTAAATTTCGAACTGTGCAAGAAGGAATCAAATAAGTTTCATAAAAAAAGAGATATTAATTATACATACCAAACTGAATTAACATTGAGCAGCTACAATTTTGAGAGCTAAATTTTTAAAAACTACTCCTCATGCGATTTTTATGAATTGTTTCAGAAAAAGTCCGATTTTACGTCAAAATACCTATATTTGAACAATGCTATATATAAATCTAATACATATCCTAAGTTGCACTTTCAAGACATGAAAAATGTCAAATGGCCCAGTATAACGGGAGATATAGAACTATCCCTTTTTTTGTTTTGTTTTCTTTTGCGCAGTGTACATCTACAAGAAAACTTAACCGCTCAAAAACCTTGAGAAGAAACCAATAGGAGGATCAGGAAACAAGCAGAAATTCAAGAAATGTTATATGCTGATGAAACTGAAGCAGAAACGAGTAGAAGGATCAACAGACAAGCAGAAAACCAAAGAAATTTGCGTGCTAAAGACCAGAAATGAGTAGGAGGCTCATCAGACATGTGGAACGTCAACAGAATATGCATGATGAAGAGACAGAAGTTGAACGTAGATGAAGGACACATGACTCTCTCAGCATCATCAAATTCAAATATAAAAGCTAGAACAGGATGCCATTAAGAGAAAAATGCAAGACGCTTCACATAACAGACAAGTCTGATCTGAAGAAACAATCGTTATACTAGAAGACAGGCTTCATGTGAATACTTTGCGATGTGTGAATACTTTGTCACATTCACTAGCACTCTTCAGAATGCAGGAAACTGTTTATGTCGAACAATCCAATGTCGGTTCAATGGAAGCTTGCTGCAGTCTCTTCAGTGGACTCTTCTTTCCAGGAGAAAGGAATATGTAAGATACGTGCACTGCCATCACAATGCAAAAATTGCAGAAGCTGAAAGAAGATATCTAGAAGAATGGCATAATATTATAAATAGGGACCACCAATTTTCTCATGATCTTTTTTCTACTTATAACCGTACTGTTTTCTTAGTTTTGCTTCCTTGGGTTCCAAGATAGGTAGAAATGCCTACAGGTTCAGTCTCTATTATTTTAGTATTCATGGTGCCACATATATCATTCAGCAAACCACCTCCATCCACCTCATCCTGATCAAGAACAGTATGCCTAGCTGTATATTTTATATTCAAATCAAGCCCTCAGGCAGGGAATGAATATACTTGGAAATGTTGCTCTGAATGCTGTAAAGCTGACAAAAGTGGAGTAGTTTTAAGGAATGTTAATCCGTATGCAGAAGCCTACAAGATGCAATCTGAAGAAGCAACTCTATGAGAGCAAGGTGCTGAAAAAGCCACTGATATCCATATGTACATCAATGGCAAAAGTGCTGTTACAAATTAACACAGAGGATGTTACAACGCTCAAAAAAGAAAATTAAGTTACAGTTGTTTTCAAGAGCGCAGATGGTATTCCTCCATCAAAGAGAGATGTTTTAATATATGCAAGAGGTGCTGGTGTCTTTGATATCAGTACTTTAAATCCTAATTTGGAACTAATGACGTACGTAATTTTTTTTTCTCTTGTGATGATTAAGGATTCAGAGTTGGACAGCAGTACATAGAGTAGCAGTTTTATAGTCGCAGCATATCTGTATTATAACACTGGTACAGCCCTATTTTGCATGGCCGAAAATTGTTAATCAAGCCAAAATAAAGCTGAAACATTTCAATATAAAAATATAATTTTTTTTTTTTTCAGATGTACATAGAACTCATAAATTTTGCTGTGGCCACAGTCCACTCATCTGGCAGGTTTGCCCAACATTCAATAATAAAATTTTTAGAATATGAAAGTGCAGTTCATATACAAAGTAGTATATTGACACAAAATTATATCATATACATGACAAAAGCATTGTAAAACTGTCTTATCTTTCAACAGAACAAATGCGGGTATTATGACTAAACCAACTTATAAAATTAAACTTCAATTTTGCAGGAATCATTTACTATCGATACAAGTTTCATTAGCAAAACAAATGCAATGTTAGAATAAATTGGTGTCTCTTTTGCATAATGAAACTGAAAGAAAAAAAAAAAAAAAAAAAATGTGTGTTTGCCAAGCTATATACTGCCAAGAGAGGATTTACCCTATACCTTGTACTTGAGCCAAAGTATCAGTCACTATTTCCCCTCCCAAGCTATGTTACCTTCCATGTTGGGATTTACTCCTGCAACTATTGCCTAACAGGTAAGCCTAACAATATTTATAATTGATGAATAAGTCTATGCAAGTTATTTTTTCAACAATTCAATTTAAATGTCTGTGAAGATTGTTAATTTAATTTGTGTTCTACTTAAACAAAACTCATTTCATAATTAAATTAAGATTTCATATTTATTTTGAATTATGATTCTTTAATGAAATTGTGCTAAATGCAGAATGCATACTCAAAATGCCTTAGTTGTGTTAATGCACTATACATCATAAATCTTGCATGTTTACTTTCATTGGCTGACTGATTATCCTTATCGTAATGTTTCTAATTATTTAAATGTAATATAATCACTTACCTAGTTATATAAATACGGAAAATTGCATCATGTACCACATTGGGAAGGAAGTAATTTATTTTTATTTCATTACTTTTAAACCTTTATAGGGGTTTCTGAACAAACTGTATAAAGTCAGTTGCTCTCATAAAATGCATAAAGACACCCTTTTGTAAGCAGACAACCCTTAAATAACTTTGCCATAAATAAACTAATCCCTCGTTCATTAGTATATTAATATACCTACCTAAATATGTCACAAAAACTGTTTTACAAAGTAAGTTAAAGATAATGAGTATTTTAACATCCATATGTGGTAAGTCATTTACGGTATTTCAATATTGTATATCTATTTTCTGTAACTGTCTACACCCTAATGACGGGGGGAAATAATAATAAAACTTTATTCACAGTTATTTACATATGTCATATATATTTGTAAACTATGTAGCTGGCATATAGTTAGGATCCAGATAGTTGTAATCATTTCCTAAGAAATGCATATAATCGCGATCGAGAAATCCAGTGCTTGCATGATGTATAGCTTCTAGCCTATGATCTGCAGTATGCTGTCCAATTTCATGCATACTGAAATATAAAAATCAGGATAAATTAAAAAAAATTAAAAAGTATAAAAATCATCATACAGAATCTAGGTTTTTAAATATGAATATGCCTGTAAGAAAAAGAATGACTACATATAAGGTAACTCAATTTATAATCTATTTTCAGTTAAGATATATTTGTATCATACATATACCATACATATACATATAAGGTGATAATTCAGAGGTTCACATTCATGGCATGTTTTTCTTTTTAGTCGTGGTCGAAGCAGTAATAGATGCGAGATACATGCAGATGACATAATAGAAGTCTTGAACTTTTATAACCATAAAATCATTGAGTAATCACAATATATCTTTATTATGTGACAATTAACGGAATTCAAACATCATATTGAGTAGCACAGCATAATGGGGCCAATCTGCTCCCCAAAAAATTTTTAAATATGCACTCACCTTTTTTTTTTTTTTTAAACAGTAGACAAAAAAAGATGAAGCAAGAGACATGGTTTATTCAAGCAACAGCAGGCAAGAAAAGGTGACGTGTACTAACATACTAACAGCAGTCATATTTATAAACTGGAAATCCTGAGCAGCCGATTGGGCTAAAGATTTTACATTGCACAGAAATTTCAGGTAAAGAGTGACATAATATGCTGCAGAGCATTGCAAAATGATGCAAAGCATATCCTTGATGCGAGAATGTGTTTAATTAAAATTTATAAATTTAAAGGTACATTGCCAATTGGTTGCAATTAAGTTTAATAATTTTGTTTCATATTTTATATTTTACACACACGCACATATATATATGTGTGTGTGTGTATGTAAAATATAAAATACATTCTGTCACAAAAAATATATGCACCCAGAAGGAAATGAACTACTGTCATGGAACTTAACATATATGCAATGTGTAAGGAGATTAACAAATGAACACAAATTCAGAACAAAAGATTGTTTTATAAAGAAGTTATGGCATGAAAAAGGTTACAAATTAGCAAGAAGTGTAGCCACCTCTAGCAGCTATAAAAGCCGAAACATGCTGTGGCATCGAATCAAGTAGGTCACCTATGACCCCCTGTAGAAGGTCACACTATAATCTTTGTAACTGGGCAGTTAATTCACAGATATTCCAGGACGCCTTCAGTTGCCTTCCAAGCATGCCCCAAACATGCTCTATTGGCAAGAGGTCTGGTGACCTGGCAGGCCATGGGAGAATGTCATATCATTGAAGACACTGTTGGGAGAGTCATGCAGTATGTGGACAAGCGCTGTCTTACTGATAAATGGCACCTGGACGACTTGATAGCATAGGCAGTACAACCAGTCCACATAACTGACAGCCATCATAGTGCCTTGAAGGATGACTAGAGATGATTATGTGTTTTAACAAGTTTCTCCCCACATTGTCACACCTTTTGTAATCATTGTATGCCGCTTGACAACAAATGCTGGATCGGACAGCTGGCCTGGCTGCCTCCACACGCATGTGCATTTGCCATTACCACCAAGACCAAATCAGGATTCATCGGTGAAGATCACACATCCCCAGTTGGTGGCGTGTGATCTTCAGCGATGGCGGTAACATTCCAGCTTGCCCGCATTGGACAAAACTCCAGTTGACAATGCCTATGATGTGGGGTCAGCGATAAGCATCTTAACACTAGAATTATGTGAACGGTGATGATCTTTCTGATAATAATTCTGTTTCAGAAACTGAACCTGATGAAGAATTTCATACCGAAATTACATCCAGTTTATCCGACAAGGACTGGATTGTTTTTACTGAAACAAGTGAATCCAATTTGTCTGATGGAGAACTTGTTTGCGAAACAGAAAAGGAAAATAAGAATTTAGATCGAGATCCCAAAGACTGATCCATTTGCCCTTGTTTTGGATATTTGGAATACTTTTATTGAAAACTGCTTAAAATGTTATAAACTGGGCGAAAATATAACAGTGGATGAACAATTTCCCATGAAGATCCGATGCCGATTTATTCAGTATATACCTAAAAAGCCAGACGAATTCGACATTAAATTTTGGCTTGCTACTGATGTGAGGTCAAAATATTTACTGAACAGATTTCCCTATTTGAGAAAATTTGAAAAGACCAGCTGGAGAAACAGTAGGTAACCATGCAGCTTTTCTCTTGATGGAACTGCTGAAATTAGTAATAGAAATGAGGAATTCAGGGATAGGCTACATTGGCAAAATAAATCGTTCAAAAGGAGAAGTACCTTATTCTTTCAAAAATATATGCGATGAGCTCTTTTCTAGTAAGATTGCTAAGAATGACAATATAACACGTCTTACCAAGGGGGGAAGGAAAGAATGTCGTGCTCCTGAGCGCCATGCACCCAACAGGTATATGAAAAACGTTGTAATGGATGTCGGTAGCACATACCAGTGTCAGCCAGTCATCTTTGAATGGTTTCCCTTGATTCGACTGGATGCCTGGAAGGTGGTAAATGATGGCAAATCGATGCTAGGAATGTTGCTGGTGCAGAAGTGCCTGCTCTTCTGCTTGCACAATCCTCACACTCATTTGTGTTATGTCTCAGAGGCATCTCTAGTCACAATACCACCCATCTAAGTCGACAAATTCGTTTGAATAGCCCTATGGCAAAAGCAATCATGCTTTCAGATTCTCACAGTTACACATCTCATATGCGCATAGCATACTTATCCTTGTCTCTCACTGGAATCGAAATTTTGATCATTTACGTATCTTTTACCAGATTACATACTTGCCGAGTTTTTTGTGAATTTGGCAATTTCTTCTGGGCACACACACACACACACACACATATATATATATATATTTTTGTGACAGAGTGTATTTATATATGTGCTAAGCAGCAAGCAAATGCTTTATTAATTTTTTATTAAGAATTAATTTTTCAATTTCCTTGCAGAATTATTTTGTGTTTCTGAAAACACCAAATATTAAGAAAGTATCATGAACCATAAAACTATATTATTCATTCAGTATTTTATATCAAATGGACAATAAAGTTTTTTTCAAACCCTTCTCTCTCTCTGCATGCGTGTATAAAGCATGGCTTCTTAAACTTTTTTCAGTCGCGATCCCTTTTTATCACTGAGATTTTTTTCTCGACTTCAGGACCCAGGACCGGATTTCCATATAAGCTACACAAGCTTAGGGCCCCTCAAAAAATTAAAATATAGTATAAATAGTATTAAAATATATTATAACATACTTATAAAGGGCCCCATATCTCAAATAGCTTAGGAGACCTTATCAAGTCTAAATCTGGCTCTGACAGGATCCCATAAGCATTGCGCTAATCCGACACATGTGTGAGTTAAACTGTCAATTTTTTCACTTGTACTTTAATATACTATTGCAGTCTTAGGTCATTAACTTTAATTTCTAATTTTAAGACATAGAACAATGTGAAAATTTTAAACCATTTACCATTTAAAAAAAAGTAACAAACGAAATGGCAGCGTCACGTGCAAAGCAAGTAAAATGAACGTTTATATTATAAAAAGAATGCATCAAAACATTTTCGTTTTCCTTTTGTCTGTATTATCTTATCTTTGTATCTATTTTAAGATACATTGTGTAAAAATTATTATAATTAGTTAAAGAAATATCAAAACTGCTAAAATTTTTGGCGACCTCTGCTGCAGGTCCCACGACCTTCATGGTAGTCGCAACCCACAGTTTAAGAAACCCTGGTATAAAGCAAAATATTTAAAAAATATCACAGCATTCAAAGCAAGGATTTATAGGTAAGATATCAGTATATAACTCATTCTAGCTAAACATTTGAAGGTAAAATTTGATAGAACTATAGTATACTTAAGAAGTTGCAGATTATTAAAAAGGAATTTTTTTCATGGAAGCTGATTATTTTTTAGAGTAAAGTCTAAAGGCATATAAAGGATTTTATATTTAGAAATATAAGTTAAATATTTTTGACAAGAGAAGAGAAAAACTTTTAATGAGAAATTAGCATTATATTCATAAGTAGGATAAACTTTTTATGCTAATTATAAACATTTTTGTTTATAGTAACTTTGAAATATATAAATTTGTTTATAGTAACTTAAAACAAACCATGCTGATAAAATATTACACTTTAAAAGATAAATAAAAAAGGATGGGACTATAGCATTTTTAAAAGTGAAAATGACTTATGTAATATACTGACTTAGAAGTAGACAGTGCTATGCAAAAGTGTTGTATTGGTTGTCCATTTCTGTTCATGCAATGATGTTGCCATTCGATATATATAGATAAATCTTGTGATTTACGCATTTTCAATGAGGGGCAAATAATAGGTGCTCAATGCATGTACCATTCAATTTCAGAAATTTGAGAATTGGGATTTTCTTGTTTCATGATATCAGCAGTATGGTGAAAGGATACAGATAGTGGGAAAAGAAAGAGTAATCAGGTCAACTGCATGGGAAAAGCAACCTTGAATGATCATGATCTTCAGAGTTAGCTGTATCATATGTAGCAAGCAACACCAAACCTTAACTCAAGTGACCACCTAACTGAAAGATGGCAATAGGTAGATGAACTCAGCAGTGCTCCTTCCACCATATAGGCATCAGAAGTCTATGACCCATGAGAGGACAATGACTTACATGGGTCTCAGGACACTATGCCTAGACCATTGACAACTAGAAGTGAGTAACATGGAATAATGATTCTCTATTCTGACAGCATCACATTAATGGTAGGCTAACAATGTGTGTGTCTCATAAAGTCATAGATCCATCATATCAGGTTGGAATTGTAAAAGACCATCACAGCTCAGTGATGATATGATGTATTTTCTCTTAGCAATGTGCTGAACTTTTGGTTCAAGCATCCTATCTGTATCTAAGTATGTGAATCTGTGAGATGATCACTTAGATACCTTGATGTTTTTTTGCAATCTGGATGACTTTTGTCAGAGAACCCAGTTGACTACTGCATGGTTTGAGAAACATTCTACTAAAATTTCCCTATAGAATTGATCACTGAAAAGACCATATTTAAATCTTATTAAACATTTTTAAGATACCCTGAATAAAATGTGACAAGTACATCATCCCCATGAACATTTAATTAATTTAGGGGAAAGTCTAGAAGATGAACCTCTGAAGCACTTCTGTAAACTTGTTGAATCCATGTATCGTCGTGTGGCAACCACTACAATGACAAAGGAGCGGCAACTCATTACTAACTGGATATCTCTAATTCAACAGTACTTACTGTTTGCCCTTTTAAATTTGTGAACTAGTCAATTTAAAAAATTAAACATTTTAGTATTTACCTAAGTATGATTTGAAACATCAACTGGCTTGGATTCATTGATATTTTTATCAGGTGGCTTGGCAACAAAATTACTTTGCAAAAATGGGTAATATTAAATATTTTGCTTATGTTTTACATTATCATGATTTACTGGGAAGGGGGTGTCTTGGAAGACTGATGAAGCAAATGCTACATGATTTATTCTATCGTTTTGAGGTACAAGCAAATATGTAAAATTTTTAAAAGTAAAGTAGCATGTACAGCTTCTAAAATGAAAACCTTTATTGAAAGAATTATTATACTGAATATTTATACTCTGACCACATAAAAAAAAAAAAAAAAAAAAGTTCACAAATATATGAAACAATTTTTTTTAAAAAAAAGATCTATAACATTAAATATTGAAAAAAAAATAGAAAATGATAAACATACCACTCAACACAATCCTCACAGAAATCAATATTCATAGGTGGTTTGCACTCTGTACAATGCCACCGTACTCCTATAATAGGATCAGTTTTGCACCGACAACACTAAAAATAGGTAAAAGAATAGTACTCATTTTAACTGCATACTGAGAAATAGTCATCTTCCAAACCCAAAATGAAACTGATTAACAACTAATTAAAGGAATGTATAATTTACTTTATAGCCAAAATGCTGAGCCAAACCACATGACCTAAGTTTCTCCTTCTGTATCTTCTTTAACATCATCAATTCTTGAAATTCTGGGGAATTTCGAAGTTCTGAACTTATTTCTTCATCATCCTATAATGTAAAATAAATTAAACTTGACATTATGTAAATAAAAAATGTATTTTAATCATATCAAATAAATTAAAGCATACATAATGCAAAACCTTACGCTTATAACACTTACTTGATATACTTTATCATATATGAATAAACTATGGTGTTTAGTTAATTGATAATATTCTTATGATAATTATATCTAGTGTTTCTGATAAAATTAAGGATCCCATAAATTTAAATACCTTATAACCATCCTTATCATAGATAATAAATATATGTAGATTTATCAAAGACATGTAATGTCTCTTTTTTTTTATGTGCAGGCGTATCTCAAGTAGTATATAGATTTGTGACAAAGTGAATATGTTAACAAGAAATCAATTAGTCTGTAAAGCAATACGACTCATAAGAATATTATCAATTAACTAAACACCATAGTTTACATTATCATGATTTACTGGGAAGGGGGTGTCTGGGAAGACTGATGAAGCAAATGCTACATGATTTATTCATTCTCAACATTTGTACGTTTGCTGCAGTTTCACTTTTAAATATTCTTCAATAATGCCCTTTCCTTATTTATAATTCAACTAATTAAGAGGCCTGATTCACAACCATGATTGGCTCTTCACACGTCTCTTTCATATTAAGATTGAACATTCTTAGCATCTGTCATATATCTCTGACTTTAAATCAAAAGTGTGATATGTGTGCTTCATCTTTTCACTTGAACTCTTATTTAGAGGCAGTTAGAGGATTTTTCGCTCACAAGCATGGTATTTTACGTAACAGACAATATGTATTTTTTTAATGATTAAATCGGCCTTTTCCTCAATAGACTAAAAGCCTATAAAAAGCATTTTTTCCACGAAAATTCTTTTCAATCAGCTTCTTGGGAAACAGCACACTTCTTTGTACTCTTCTCACATTAAGTATTTCTTTCCAATAAAATTGGTAGGTATAAAATGAAGTTGTCTTCCTAACTGAACTAAAAAGATAAAATGAATGCCTAAATTTTGCTTCCAGAAATTTCAGTAGTTAAAAAATCAAAAATGAATTTTTTGATTTTTGATTAATTACCTAACTGGTTGGATGCATAATCAATTCTCAACTAAATAAAATTATAAAAAATTCATAAATTATGTTATTTTTTAATTTCAGAAAATACACAATTGCATTTATAAACAAAATATACGGGAAAAATCACTTCTTGTCAGAAATAAAAAATATATATAGGAGTATTTTCATTACTTTTCTGAAGTTGTCATTTTCCACACATGCTAGAATAAGTAGTAAACTGATTTTACATAGAGGGACATTTCGTATGCTTGGCACATCTTGAAATTTTTATAATTCAGTCAATATTTCAAATCAGTATGATATATTTAAATTCAGGCATAACAATTCTCAGGATTTTTATTTTTAAATATCTTGTAGGATGTCCAGAATGAAAAACACATGAATTTCATTTGTTATTATGGCTTCCACTATTTTCTATCTGAAATTGGATACAATCTATTTTGTTGATATGATTGTTCAAGTATAATAATTAGTTTTTCAATATAAACCATATTTATAAACATTACCATCAAAAATTGCTCCAAGAATTGTAAATCTCACAGTGTCATTGACATTCATGAAACTAGTTGGGGTACCAAGAAATAGTAACCTTAGTGAGGTAGATGGAAATTTTTTCATTAATTTTTGCAAAAAATGATAGCTGTCTCTAACATTATCATCAGAAAATATGTAAAAATCTGAAGAATTTTCTATTTTGCTCAGTAAATTTTAACAGGTTCTAAGATCAGAACTTCTACTACCACTATCAGAATTTCCATTCTCATTCATTTTTCATTTTTTACACGAAAATATAAACTTTTATTAAACAGAATTTAAATTTCTAGTATTTGTGGGATGTCTTGGATCACAGAAGATATATTTTCAAAATGATCAAACTACTCCAGGCTCCACCTAAATGAAATAAACCTATAAAAAGCAATTTTTAAAATGAAACTTCTTTTTGTTTTTCAGTTTCCTTCTAGGGTGTTCAATAGCCCTTTGTACCATCTTATTGTTACAGTTTTTACATTAAATTACCTATTTTTAAATAGAATTGTTTCATTTCCAGGTGCAATGCTGCACACAACTTACTTGAAGAGAAAGCTAGGCGGGAAAATGAAAAATACAGGAGCATGCGGGTTTAATAAATAGATATCTCGTAATTGTACGCTTTTGCTTTTTGGGAAAAATCGAGAAAATACAAGAAAATGCTCATGCGTGATTTAAAAAGCTTATAAAAGGAGGAAGACATCTCAATTCAGTACTTGTTTTATGTTTAGAAAGCTGTTGTTGTTCACTGTAGCGAATTCGCAGTGAAATCAGATTAGCTTTCTCTATTTTGAATTAATTCTGTTGAATGTTTTTAGTAGTTTAAAAGATAACTTCTGTGAGATATTACAATATTGCATGAATATCTGAGGAAATTTAAGCATTTTGTTTTATTTTTTGTGATATAAATAAATTTTTATTCACTTTTCATTGGACTTGTGCATTCTATTTATTACGAACTCATACGCATGCAACACTTTTTGGGGTCAGGAGTGGGGTTTTGCATGCAAATCACAACAGCGATGGAAGAAAACTTTAGTCAATTTATGGCAAGAGAAATTACCAGTGTAATAGAAAATAAATTCAAGGCTATGGAAGACAAAATAGACACTATCAAAAATAAGGTCAGACAAATTGAAGAAAAAGTTTCTTCTGTAAAAGATCAAATTGAAGAAAAGAGTTTCTTCAGTAAAAGAAGAAATAGAAGAAAGAGTTTCTTCTGTAAAAGAGCATATAGAAGAGACAGTTTCTGCCTTGGAACAACAAATTGATGACAGTGTTTCTGCACGCTAAAGAAGTTGATACCCTAAAGAAATCCGTAGCAATGGTAGGATGCAATTCTGATGGTTTTAAATTTTTACCCATGGCTGCTCGTCCCTCCCTGAAGTTATCCACATATGATGGGAAGACTTCTTGGCAAGTGTATAAGACGCAATTCTCAATAGTGGAAGAAGCGAATGAATGGTATTTCCAAGATAAGGCCTGTCATCTCGTTGCTTCTCTGAGAACAGACACGGCAGATAGTCTTAACTCTCCCAGAAAACCAAAGACTAGCTTTTGAAGCTCTGTCCGGCGCACTGGAGCTGCACTTTGGGGAGAAAAGTTTGAAAGATTACAGTAGACTTCAGTTAAAATCCTGCCAACAGAAGCCTACCAAATCACTCCAGGAGCTCGCCACGGATGTTGAAAAGCTGTCCAACCTTGCCTTTACAGAGTGCCCAAGAGAAACGAGAGAAATCTTGTACCTGCAGTACTTTATCTATGGCATCCAGGATCTTGAAATACAGAAGGCTCTATGAATGGTGGATGCCAAGAACTTAAAAAGCACTCTGGTGTACGCCATGAAATTCAAGGCAGCCCGGCAAGGAACTCGCAGAGATCACCACCCAATCAGAGCCACTCAAGCACAAGAGCCAGTGGATCAACTGACTGCTCGTCTAAACAATTTAACTAAACAAGTCAATGCCTTGAGGCGAAATAGAAGTAACATGAAACAAAACATGAAAGTAACATGAAAGTGTTGGAACTGCAGTACTGAAGGCCACATAGAAAGAAACTGCAGAACACCCCAGGGTATGGATGTTAAGACCTCTCCCAGCAAGAAACAGGGAAACCAATTAGTAGCCATCTTGTGGGGCGGAGGTTGCCAGATGATGAGAAGCCCTATTTTAAAGTACTTGTTGCTTAACAAGTAATTTATAGGTTCGAAAATCTAAGTCAACACTTTTTAAAAAACCAACATTTATTTTTCACGACATTTCTTATTCTACAAAATCTTAAATGCAACTAACTATCAAACAGGAAAGCAGACATAGACATAATGCATCTGCGCAAGTGATCCTCGTGACAGACGAATTCCTTAGGGTTGCTACAGAAAGCAGTCTGTCGCCACAATTCTCCCACTTTTTGAGTGGATGGCTACACACTCAAAACATAAAACTTACATCAATATAAATGAGTGTTATTTAACAAAGAAAATTACTTAATACTTAAATCATATTACTTGAAAACAAAATTAATACTGATGAGTAATACAAAATAAATCATAATAACTCAAAGACATGAATTACATTATTTGTGATTTTACAACTCTACCACTACTGGTGGTGAAAGGAACTTGATCATTTTGAGTATTATCTATTATATTATCCAATTTCAATCTAAACAATCTCTGTATTGTTCTCAAGAACTCTGAATTATTACATTTTACAACAGCAACTCTTATGTTGCCATCTCGACCAGGGATCACCAGAATAACGCGTGCTAAATTCCAATATGCACGATTTTTATTTTGATCCTCCAGCAAGACAATTTCTCCTACAGAGAGAGGTTTATTTTTGTAATTTCTGGTAGACTGCTGTCTTAACTGCCCTAGATACTCAGAGCGAAATCTCACTCTTAACAATTCTCTCATTCTCTGGAGATACTTTGCTTTTCTACTCAATTTTTCTTTGTCCACATTGTCAATATCAGGTACACCCGACTGTGGAGTTTCATGCAGAAATATTTCCGGAGTTAAAGGCAAGGGATCTTCAATATCGTCAAACACGTACATAAGTGGTCTTGAGTTGACAATTCTTTCACAATCGCACAAAACGGTGAGTAACTCTTAATAACCAAGAGAAGCACGGCCTAAAATTTTTCTCAATATTTGTTTTACAATTTGTATTAAACGCTCCCATCATCCATCCCACCAAGCAGTGGATGGAGGATTAAATTTCCATTGTATTCTCTTTTCAGCAGCCTTAGAGCAGAGGCAGTCCCAGTCGATGATTTGCAGAACTCTCTCTGCACCCACAAAATTTCGGAATATATCCCATATCGGAATATGTGGTGGTAGGGTGGTCGGAATATATGGTGGTAGGGCCGTCCACGACGTGCGATAAAACGCCTTAAAGCCTTAAAAA